GTGAGGGACTATCGATAAGTTGCCAACCAAGTGGGAACTCTTTGTCAATTTGTCTGTCTGTTTTTATTATCACTGCCAATTTTTAACTTTCATTGCTATATTGTCTGTTTATTAGTTTAACCTTCTTATTAACTGTTATATGTGTAAACCATATTTTGCTATTAAAACATATTTTTGTTGCTATTTTTTTGCTATAAGTATAATTTATCTTTACTGTTATAAGTGAAACTTGTCTTTGCTTCACTCCCAACTCCACTTCCTTGATCCTGAACCAAACAGCCCAATGGCTGATACATTTGCAGCACCCAGTTGGCCTGCAACCAAATTGATTTACTCACAGTGCCTAGTTGGCCTGTGACACAAGCCATAGCCTACTGCATGTTCTCAGCAAACATACTTCAAAATATTATAAAAAGTATATTTATATTGAAAATAATGGAAAACCGGGGTCAGCAAACTTTTATAAATGGGGGGTGGGGGGGTACACTGCAGCTGTGTGTTGCAGATTCCTGGCTACTGCCCCAGCTATGCCTGCTCTATGCTGAGGGCTGCTTTCAATCCATGCCAATGCAACCTGAAACAGCCACCAACAACCATGGCAAACAGCAGCTTGGAGTGGCAAATTTAGCAGCAATGGTTGCAGTGGTTGTACAGGGATGTACAGGCAAGGGCAAGAAAGAGCTGTCCACACAGATCAGGAGTGTGTGAGGCAGCAGCAGAAGATCAGCCTGCCATTAATAAAATACAGAATGCAGATCACACGCCAGATTAGATGGCTGGGTGGCAGCATGGGATCAGTGTGCTGTTAGTAAAACACAGTCCAGATCAAATCTTCACAGGCTGGATCCAATCTCTTCATTGCCAACCTCTGATGTAAACCAGAAGTCAAGCTAATCTAGCAAACAAGAAAAGCAGAAGACTAGACTAAATGAAACCACAACATAATGGAAGGGCAAAAAGCACAGAGAAAATACAGGAGGATGTAGTATATGTTCATCTTGAATTCTACATTTGATCACAGAGCTCTTGGAAAAATAATGCTTGTATTTCTAGTTTAATACACAAGCAGAAAGGGAGTGGAAGAGAGGCAGGGTGACGGGAATGGTACACATCGTATCAAGTTAAGAATGCTGAATGTCTGCTGTGTGATTGTAGGGACTTTTCAAAATCCCAAAGCATCACAAGATTTTGAAGATTCTCTGAAGAACTTAAACATGGTTTACTTAATTGGGCTGGAATCTTGGCTCCAATGAAGTCAGTGGCAAAATTCCCACTGATTTCAAAGGGGCTCTGATTTCAGAGCTAGAGCAGACTACAGCTGATGTTTACCCACAAATATAACTTTCCCATTACTGATCTACTATTAGTTCTACGAGAGGTATAAGTGTTGGAAGTGTAAGAATACCTATGAAGATGATTTTCCTATAAAGTTATTCTCTTTTACCTTGTGTTGTCAAAGCAACTCAACCTCTAGTATAGACCAACCCCGCCTTGTGCTAGCATCTGTATAAACACAGCATGAACAGATGATGTCCATCACTTAGAACTTCCTGTCTATGTAGCAAATAGATTACTATCCAAGAAGAAGCACCCATTACCTGTAAACCGCATTTACAGTTCCACTGATTTCATCTAGAATTGGTTAAATTACATGAGGGTTGTTTCAGTCCTAAAACATAAAATTTAATTTACTGTCCCTTCTCTTGTAAACTGTATTAATATAAGTAAAAAAAAAAAAATCTGCATAAACTTCTGAATTAATAACCTTATGGGAAAATTAGTTGTTGATTATTTGATGTTTTTCCTCTTTTCTTATTGTATGTAAATATGTTTCACCTCCAGTTAACCATAGATTTTTTTGTTTAAACTTATGTAACTGTCTTAACAGAAACATTAACACGTGCATATTATGAATTTGGTTGGTCTTTTCAACTTTGGTTTTCATTTGTGTAACATTCTGGTTTCCTACTACTGGGGGAAAAGTTCCTTATATAATAAATTAAGGCTCCACATTTTGTGATGAATATTCAACACCATTTCATGATTTACATGAAAGCCTATGGATCTTAATTATTTGAAAAAAATAATGAAACCATTTAAACATGTAAATGATTTAAAATGAACTAATTTCAGATAATTAAATAATTTAGACTAATTTCTGGAGTCATGGCACAAAGTAATTTGCTTGAGGAAAAAACACACTAACTACCGTATTGAGAAAAATAATAGATGCAGAGGCTGTTATCTTTGAAACAGAATTTTCAATGTAGTGTTAAAAGTATACTGTATCTATGTTCTTATTAAATCCCATGGATTTACAGCCTTATTAGTTACTTTAACTGCATTATAAAGCAATATATTTGTATTATGTCCTGGCACCTTTTGGATGTTTTCATCAAATATCATAGACTCATAGAAAACTTGGGTTGGAAGGGACATAAGGAGTCATCTAGCTCAACCGTTTGCTCAAAATAAGACCAGCCCCAACTAGATCATCCCAACCAAAGCTTTGTCTAGCCAGGTATTAAAATCCTCCAAGGATGGGGAGTTCACAACCTATCTAGGTAACCTGTTCCAGTGGTTTACTACCTTCCTACTGAGAATTTTTTTTCCTAATATCTAACCAAAACTTTCCTTACTGTCCCTGGGATGGAAAGGGAGAGGTGAAGGGAGATGGTGCCCAGGCAGCCTGGGTTGCAGGCAGTGGTGCCAGTGATGCGGAGCCAGAGGACCCCATAGAAAGACACCCATGTCACCTGGCGAGAAACAACCTGTAATATACTTACAGGCTCGGCAGTGCTACACTTACCAGCACCACAACCAAAAGAGACCTGGGGGTCTTGATAGACCATATAGTGAACATGAGTCACCAATGCAATGCTGTAGCTGGAAAAGCAAACACAACACTGTCATGTATCTACCAATGCATCTCAGACAAGACTAAAGATGTCATCCTCACACTTTACTCGGCCTTGGTGAGGCTGCAACTGGAGTACTGCGTCTAGTTCTGGACATAACATTTCAGGAGGGATGTGGAGAAGCCTGAGAGAGTCCAAAGGAGGGCTACACATATGGTTAGAGGTATGGAGAGTAGGCCATACGCTGAGAGACATAGGCCTGTTCAGCCTGGAGAAGAGAAGCCTCAGAGGGGACTTGGTGGCAGCCTATAAATATATAAAGGGTGCATATTAGGGAATGGGAGAAAATTTGTTCAATAGGGCTCCCCATGGGAAAACTAGGACTAATGCTCATAAATTGCTAGAAGACCACTTTAGATTAGACATAAGGAAAAACTTCTTTACAGCTTGAGTGTCCAGGGTCTGGAATAGATTCCCACAGAAGTGGTACTATCACCTACTCTGGATATCTTCAAAAAATGCCTGGATGCCCACCTTGCTGGGGTCATCAGACCCCAGCAGTCTTTCCTGCCCAGGTGCGGGGGTGGGGCTGGACCTGATGATCTCAAAAGGTCCCTTCCAGCCCCTGACAACATCTATCAAACTAAGGAGATGCAAGGGAACACACTATCAAGTTGCATTATTACTAGGGATAACAAATGATTAAAGAATTAACTGCAATTAATTATGAGATTTAAAAATATAGTCATAATCGTGATTTTAATTACACAGTTAAACAATAGCACCCCAACCGCCTGGAACCCGGGCACCCTGTGGTTCCTCCCTGCCACCACCAACAGCATACAGCCCCAGCCCCAACCCCAGCCTGCCCACACCTGCTTCACACTCCCTCTGGCTGGAGCAGACCAGCCAGAACCCACACACACAGCCCCAACCCCGGCCCACTCTGTGCCTGCTCCAGACTTATCTGCCTATGCTGAGGAGCAGTGGCAGTGGCCATGGGAAAAGCATCCCCTCTCTCTCACCACTGCCAGGCCCTTCTTGTTCTTGCTACATCTGCCTGGAGCTTGTACCTGGGCTGCTCTACCCTGCTGGGTGGCCCAGAGGCAGCAGTGATGGTGGTGGAGAGCTGCTGCAGGGCAGCCTGGACACAGACTCTAGGCAGCTATAGCAAGAAGGGCCTGGCAGCAGTGGAGGGGAAGGGCCTCTTTTCCCCTGTGCTGAGCAGCAGCTTCTGTCCGACCACCACCAGCCCTATTTTGCCCACACCTGGTCAAAACAGGCGCTATTAACACTCATTTAAAAAAGAATGTGTTAATTTGTTTTTGCATTCATCACACCTGTTAAATGAGATTAGCTGACAGCCCTAATTATTACAAATTCATTTTGGAAAAGAAGAATATTACAAAGGTGGTCTAAGGCAGAGATAAAAGCAAGATCATCTCTCATTACTTTCCATCATCAAGAGCTGCGACCTTTCAAGAACAGATATGAGCAGAATTATTTTAGTGTTGGAACCAAAACCTTATTCCAGATTCAGATCCAAGACTCTAATGCAACCACTCCCCTATGCACCTACACTGAAATTTTGTATCTAAGGCTTTATACTTTTTCTACATGGAAGTGATTTTTGAATGGAGCCCAACCAATTGTATAAACTTCAAAGTAAAAATGTATTTTTTCTATAAAAGGCTCTTTTCCATCAGAATAAAATATGCTATTCTCTTTTCCATTCCTTGGCTAATTCTGCTATAGTTAACTTATATTATACAAGAATATTATAGTACAGATTTCTGTAGCTTGTGCTAACAAAGATAAATGAAAGCAGGGATTGCAATAAAACTTTGCAAACAATTCCATTATAGCTTGTCAACTACACACACAATCTCAGCTGTAAGTCTTTTCATTTGTGTGTCAATTTTCTCAATGTCACTGACTAAAAATATGGACTTCTGAATGTAATCTCAAAACAAAAGACTAAAATGACTATTCTAGCTTGAAGCTTTTAACTATGTCTTCAGCACTGACATTTTCCCCCCTCTTTCATACTCTATTCTATAACAAAAGCACTACATGAACAAATAACAATTGAGAAGTAATAGAAATTTACTAAAAAATACAAAGTATCAAACATTCACTCACCCATTTTCTTTCCTTCTTTCATATGGTTTCATGCTTTGTTCAAGAAAACCATGTACCCAAATATTTTCTCAAGTTTATGAAATCACTTCAACTATACCCAGGATCTTTGTGTGTTGTATTTATATCCACAGATAAATTCAAGCATTTTTCTGTCTTAAATATTTATAAGAAGTGAAATTTAAGTATATATTCATAAATTAGTTGTGAAAAACTTAAAATATGTGCATATACATTTATTTATTCAGGAAGCATCATGAGACATGTAACAAAGTTGCAGCTAATCTGCTCCAGATTTTTGGCACTCTCTCCCAAACCTAAGTCACTAATCAGAAACTCTCACTTTTTATTATAGTCTATAGAATACATTCCCTGATACTTTTTACTAAAATGTTTTTCACTACAACATTTGAAGGAAAAAAAACAAATGATTTTACATGGTTGCACTTTCTTTGAGTTTTTAGGATTATAGAATTATCCCTAATGTCTTCCCCACTCTGAGTGTTACTGATGGTCTCTCCCTCATACACATGACACCACTCTAGTACATAGATTCATATTTTTGCCCTGAACTAATTAAAGAAAATTATCTCCTTGTCCAGATAAAAGATTTTAAAAAACAGAGCAAAAATGAATCAATGATGTCCTCCCCAAGGCACGTGCCAGTATAGTAAGGATGGCAGTCCAGGGGACCAGGTGATGATAATAAAGTGCAGTGGCATCTCTGCAGGAAGAATCTTTCAAGAACTTTGGATGGACAAGCTTGTAGCTTTCTGTATCTGGGATAAATTGTTACTACTTCTTATCCTGTGTACCTTTTAAGGTTTAATCCTGGGACAATGGACCTGAGCAAAATGATTTATCCCAAGACAAATACAATATCTGTTTGTAACCTAACTCTACTTAGATCCACCTTGTCACACTGCCTAAAAGATCTTTCAAGCCAGTGACAGTCAGGCCTGGTTAAAGAGCTGTGTGAACACTCTATGTTTGTGGATAAATGTAGCTTTAAACATTTTAAGAGCGGAAGGGGACTTGCAGCTTGGGAACATGTATCGGCTGTTCAAATTTTTATGTTATATTCTTCTGCTCCAATATCAGGTTTACCTCCAAAGAAGTAAACAATGGTAAAATCTACCCTGGATGAAACAGATGTAAAATTACCATGATTTACTTCCACTTATACTGGTATAGATGCAGACAGACATAATAGTTATATTGGAAGAGCTTCTATGACCATAATTAAATAACTGTTATGTGTACCGAACCAAGTGGTAACCAAAGATCCATGACAACGTATATGCTCTAAGTCATATGCCGACTGTGGCAAATGTGGCCGTTCAAAAGAAAAAAACAAACAAACTGCAGGCTGCATTACTTGTAGATACAGGTAATATGTTTATTGCATTATTCATGAGTAAAGGACAGACACAGCCAAAGACTAAAATAAGATACAAGTACAATACAATTACTCTGATAGTATTTTCTGTGGGGAGCCATAGGTAAGAAACAGAAGAGTCACTTTGGCTGGGGAACCATGGTATGAGCATTACATTCCAAGCAAATGGTACCCCACATGTCAGTGACTTTGATATCATGGTCTAGTCCTTGTTGGGAAAGGCAAACTTCATCTGCATCCAATTCTGAGAAATTTCCCCACACTGCAGGGGTTGTTTCAGCTGCATGCAATGCATCTGCAAGGAGCATGCCAAAAATCTGAAATGGTGAGACAAGCAGTTCTGAGGAAACTGCACCAGCTTCAGCTATTGGGGCTGGAGAGCACCAAACAGTTTGACTTGGGACCCTGAATATTTTTAAATTACTGTGAAAACACTCAGAGCAATGGGTGGGAACTTGAAATATAAATAAAAGGAAGCAATAAATAAATCATAACCAGTTACACAACACAGCTGGGTAGAATGAAAAATGAATATCAAATACACACAAATAATTATTCTGAGAAATTTGCTATGCTAAGAAAATTCACAAAGAAAAAAGCCAAAATAGGAACAAATTAAAGGAAACTGCTCATATGCTTTGAGCAGAAAAAGAAACTAATATTCTTAGCTAAATTAAGCATTGCAAATAGCTTTCTTTGCTCTGTTACTTTGCATAAGTGGCCCTGATCCAAAAACAACTATGCCAATGGAGAGATGCCCATTGATTTCAGTATGTTTGTAGTCAGGTTCTATATGTTGTAAAACTGGGAGTGCGGGGGGGGGGGGTAATAAAAAAAGCACTTTGATAGATACCTCTCTTTATGTAGTGAACATGGCAATATAATACCATGACAAAAATAACAATATCTTTGTCGGTGATGTTAAATGTCTAGACTGCTTGGATACAGAAGCTAGAATTATGCTAAAAACAAAGAGACAAGTAATTTCAACGGGCGTGAAGAAAATAAACACAACCAGAATCTGAAAATTATCCCCTCAAGCAAAGATTTCTAAGGAACAGAATTGTCTCTGAATATTGGTCTCTGGATAGCTGTTTCTTTCAAGAATGTTGAAGCAAGGATACCCTTATGTAGTTAACTTGTTGACCATGTCATTAGGCAGTTAAGATACACCAAGATGTTTCAAGGCTGACAGTTCTACAGCACTAGGGTGTGGGAGGGAGGGGATAGAATAGATAAATATCAGCTTAAAATACTTGAGATATTTTGTGATTTCCTTTAGAAAAAGCACACCCTTTTCACTTGTATTGCCTGATTATCACTGCTTTCAGAGAATTTATGTAGAATTCTTATTAGGTAAGCTTACAACTTAAATCACCAAACTACAGAGGCCATCAAAATCAGAAAGCACTGCACAATATATCATGTTAAAAAGCAGACTACAAGCCCAACAGCCATTATTTCTCATTTACTCAAATAATAGAGGAGATTTTATGACCGAATCCGAGAAATGAATTACAGAGTTTCATCTTTATTTCATCAGTTTACTGAAGCATTCGTATGAAACTCCGATTTATAATTTTAATCACCTTAAGAGCTGTAAATGGGATTTTTCTACTGATTGGAAAAATGAAACGAATATTATTATTCAGAACTATCTCATTTAGAAAGCTTGTTTTGATGTCCTAAACCCTACAGAGATACAGCCTACAGCTATTTATTTTTGTTTCACCTGCCTAGCTTGCATCATTGTTACATTTTGTCGCTGCATAGACACCCACTAGTTATGATGGATAGTACTGCTGTCGATATGGTCACAGCTAATGAAAAGATGACATGAACACTTACAAACGTCATCTAGATTTATGAACCAATAAGAAAGCTAAAATGCTAAACAAAAGAAGTAGCTAGTGTACCAAACCTATTGAAGAAATTATTCACATTAGAGTTCTTACTCCCTCTGTGACATACAACCTTTCCCTCTGTGACATACAACCTCTGTAGAACCACAGCGTGAAATATCAATTTTGGATAAATGCTATAAACATTCAGTCTTAGTGTATTTCTCTTATTATAGTTAAATACTCTTCTAATATAGAAGTTCAATATTTTCTATTCATTAATGCGTGCAATATTATAAGGGGGTGATACCACTTGAAACAAGAGAATATCCATAGAATATCACTGAATGCCCTGGGAAAATAGTCCACTAATGACATGTTTAGGTATAAAGCTTTTTTCTTTAAATGCTGACCGGGCAGTTTCTAACACGAAAGACAGGTAAGGGTGTATGGAGGAGGGTCACTTGCAAGGGCTCATACCATTCAGGTCAGAAACAAAATTTTCCAAAAAACACAAGGGATGGAATTTCTTAGGCCTCCCAGATGCATCAAGTTATTGAATTTATACAGGTTTCTTTGGTATTAATGAATAATTATGATTCAGATTCTCAGATTCTCTAAATCAGGCATCACTATAGCATGCTGTGGGGGCACCTTTTATGTTTATTCACAATGAAAGGAGGAATTGTCTAGTGAAGCACATGGAAGACATGGATTTAAGTCACTACTCAGCCAGTGGTATATTGTGTGATGTTAGGGCAAGGCATTTGTTGTCTGTTCATTATTTCCTCATCAGTAGAATGGGGATGACATTACCTATCTGGAAAAGGTGTTAGGATAATAGATACATTAAATATTGGTTACTATTGTAACAGAGCTAGATCAGGCTCTCTTACAGCATGGTCTTTGTCTGGTTGGGCTTATGCTTCAGCCTGTTGCAACAAAGGAAGTTCAACATGATTGGACCATTCAACTGAAACTTCTGATTGGACACATCCATGGATGTAGCACAAGGTGACTGGAGAAATCACTGCTATTTGTTGGACGTGACCACCTGAGGGGCTAAAAGAAGGAACATGCTGTAGTCAGTGGAAAGAAGCACATGGGCATTGAAGAGTTGGGGTCAGCTGACCCAGCAGGGCAGTCAAATGAGCCCCAGAAGAGCCTGAAGTGAGCAGGACGAGACTGGAGTGAGAGTGGTAAGGCAGAGACTGAGGTGCTGCTCCAAGGGCCAACAGGTTTCAGGAGACAGAGCAAGATGATGCCTGTCAAGTCCTATGGGGCTATCAGCATATCCTTGCTTGTTATACAGGAGGGAATTGTAGCCCCAGAGGAGCCTTCCCTGAGTGTTTGCAGCCTGTCCATGAGTGGGACAGTGGGGAGAGTCACCTATCTCATGCAGGGGAGAGTGCCCCATTGAATTCTGAGTGCTAGAGAGAGAGATTGCAGGCAGGGATCACAACACTACATGGTTTCACCTAGACATGGAATAGGATATAGACCCCTCTCAGGAATGCAGGAGTTGCATACATATCTACAGGGTGCTTGCCTGAGTCCTTGCTGAGGGGGAGGAGCTGGGTTCAGGCCATGGCCTGGCAAACTGCAGACTGGAAGCAGCTGTGGCCCAGCAAACTGTGGACCACTGCGTGGAGCCCCACAGCTGGAATTTCCAGCCGGAAGACAGGTAAAGCGAGTTCCAGCCCCCGGCCCCTGGAGGAGTTGTGGTCTCTCCCCCTGGCTCTGCAGGGCTATAGTTTGCTGGTCTGCAGTCACTTCTGGTCTGACACCTGACCTTCTTACAGACCAGCATTCAATACTTCAGGCCACTGCCCAGGGGTTGGGAACCCCTGCACTATAGTAATGGGTGCCATAAAATTACAAGAAAGATAAAGTCAAAAAATGTGTAAGTCAAACAGTGGCGTAACTGGGGTGGAAGGGTGATAGGGACAACTGTCCTAGGCATCAACTTGTGAAA